AAGGCGAGCGTTCCGGCAGCGTGCTTGGCCAAGAGAGGTGCCAGGTCGACCATCGACGGACGGTGGGCTCCCACATCCTTGATCCGAGGGGGAATAGCTCAGGTGGTAGAGTATCGGTTTCTTACTCAAAGGTCGTGGGTTCAATCCCCGGCGTCCCCGGATTATTTCTGCAAGGATTTATCCGTCCCTCCCCTGGAGAATCTGGATAACAAGGGCTACGAGGACCGAACTTCGAAGAATCTCGGTCGAAGCACGAGGTATGAAGCGTTGAGCGAAGTAAAAACCGAAGATTACACACCGCCCTTGGTCGAGCAGGCGCGTTACAATTGGCGAAGCGGTTCCACAACATGTGGTTCAAGTATCGGCCCTCGTAGTGGAATGTCTTACTGTTAACAAATGATAATCCAAACCCAATTAACCTTAAAGCATCTACACCGGTACCAGCAGTTCTCAGATCCCAACAATTTTATTGGGCGATTTACTGGAATTCCAAAAAATTCGTTCGCACCGGAACCAATAGCCAGCAAAAAGAGTTATTGGACTCAATTTGTTGGAATTTTTGTTGGAGTACTGAACTCCAGTAAGTCAACTGACCAATCATATTCACCTGTGACTCGATCGATTCGTGTCTTTGTTCCCCATTCCATGCTCCTTCGCGACTGCTCCGCTCCCGCTGGGACTTCCTTGGCCACATCATCCGGTGTCCGGTCAACCCCGTACGTAGGATGTGGCCAAGGAGGACCCAGCGGCGTACAAGTCCATGTCCAGGTCCTTCAGCTTTTCCGTTGCTAAGCATTGGCCTGGACACCCCATCACGTCGCTGCCTCGCGCCCTCAACGCTGACCTCAAGACCGTCCTCGGCTCCAGTGCCTCACCGACCTGCAGACCCTTCGCTCCACCGCGACATCGTCACCGCATGCCCCAGCATTCCCCAGCATTCCCCAGCACTCAGACGTCAGACGTTCGACGTACGGTATGCGAAGTCCGCTACAGTGACTAGCTGTAGACGCAAACGATTTCTCAGTTAGCTGATGTACGCGAATAAACGTCACTACACATACATATAACGTTAAGCAAAACAGACAATGAAGGAACGCTCCCGAAACTTCACCCCACATGACCAGGGGCAGCTGTGTCACGTATGGCTGAGTGCCTCGCTCGATCTAATCGTCGGAAACGATCAAACTACAAGTCATTTCTAAGCCCGAGTACTGCAGCGTATAACAGTAGTCCCGACTGCACACAGAGGTACCGGTATAGTGAATTACAAGCTGGTTTGCTCTATGAGGGCAACGGTAACATTTCCAATGCTGTATT